GGATAGAACCCCAGTCTCTTTGGTATTCAACGCTGGATTTAGCACGAAAAGTTGATTCACTGTGGACTCAAAGCCATCGGCCAAAGCGTTAACATAGTCCGACTCCAGAAGTTGAATTCGAGCGATGAAGTCAGCACGCGTGCGTAAGTCAGCCACCCCTTCAGGCTCGTCTTCCGCGGGAAGCATAACAGCCTTTAGATCTTCGACCTCTCTCAACAACCGTTGGTTGTCACTCTCCAACCGCTCCTTATCAAGCTGGAGGCAGTCTTTTTCCTCAAGGGCTCTGTCGACCCTCTCCTTCTCCTCCGACAACATGTCAGACTGCTCCCGAAACATTTCCTCGAAGAGTTCGAGAGCAACCTTCATTTTGCGGGATTTGGCCACGAGAGTCGCCTTCTCCGACTCCAGCTCCTTGACCCGATACAAGGAGTCCGACCCCTCGCCCGCGAGGATAATTGCCATCTCGGCCATTTTCACTACCCCGATCATACTGGCGGCGAGGTGTTTCCTCCGACCTTCCTTGTCGAGCCGTCTGATGATATCGGCCTCGTTGTCAGATATGGTCAAGGGAAACCCCTCAAATAAATCCTTTTCCACAAAATAGGTTGGCAGGCTGAAGGCCCGACCACCCACCCCTCCATCGGTGACTTCGACTCCACCTTCCGGTCGACTCAGTTTCTTGCTAATCAAAGCAGATTGGCGCTCAGTGTCATGGGAACCCTAGGACCCACTAGATCTTTCTCTGCCCGACTCAGGGGTCGGACCCATTCGCGAGGCTTGTTGCGGCTTCACCAACCTCTTACTGATCTTCTTGGCTTGGGTCAGCTTCAGCAACCTCTCGCAATGTTCTGCCATGTGACCTGCAAAAGAAATGTACTTGGGTTAGCCACATCGAAGAAAACAAATAAAAAAGACCATCAGAGTAAAGCAAGAAACCTAAGAGCTCTACGACATGCTCGTAAGACTGGCATTCGACGAGCGCCTTGGTGTTGATCAGACGTGCCTCGAACATCGGCTCGCCATCCTCATCAAGAACTTCGTCTCCTTCCCTCGTAACCCACAGAGCAGGGAAGAAACCATCGACAAATTTGTTCAGGACGCCATAAGCCTCCTCTTCCTCAGTGCTCATACCACCGGTGGGAGTGTGGTAGTATCCAGGTCCATGGTCGTAATGGCCCGAAGATAAGTGGATGGGAAACTTTGAGTCTTTCCCAATCTCGGGATTACCCTTAGAATCCAAACATGGTTCCCCGTCCTCGTCCACCACAGCAGCCGAATCGAACAACGAATCCACGACTGTCTGAGTAGACGGTTGCAGGATATACCACTTATCCTTGAAATCTCGCACATAATCCATATACATCCTAAACAGCCTCTTAGACTGCTTAAGGGACACCCAGCTGTGCTTCCCTCCTCGGGACTGCCGTTGCAGATGAAAAACCCTAAAGAACAGGGGAATCGTTTCCCCGATCCTCAGGAAGCGGCAGGTAAGTTCGAATGCCCGGATAAAGGAAATCGCATTAGGATGGATCTGGGAGGGGGCCAGGTTCAAGTAATTGAACACTCCCATCTAGAAGTCGTTGAAAGGTAACTGGAGTCCGAGATCTTTAAATATGATCTCGTACATAGGAAAGGCGTCCTGTGTAAACTCCGAGCAAATGCGGGCATCCCTTGTCGGCCTCATGATCTTAAAATTTCTCTGAAATCCCTCCTGGTCGCCGCCGTACTCAACGACAGTGTAAGCTTGCCTACCAGTATAGCTATAGATCGAAGCCATCCCCCGGGGTTCCGCACCAACCCAGTCCAGAGTAGGGTCGTCGATGGTGTCGACCAGGTTTATGCTTTCCTTGGCAGTGCTTGTTTCCTCGATATCATTACGCTCCAAAGACTCGGGAATATCGGCCATTTACCTGCAAAGTACAGGAAATCGGTGAATTCGACAGCAAATCTGCTTTTCCGCCGCACAGACGGGGAGAAGTAAGCAACACTCAGACCGAGTCAACAACCATTCGCACGAAAGACGGGGAACATGTGGACCTCGATCAAACACCAACCTTAACGGCGGACGTATATCAATCATAAACTTCACGAGCACAACAAGAATATCGCGAGCAAAGAATGAATTTCACGACCAAGTTCATAACATTTCTAGCCAGATACAAGAATACCACGGGGAAAACTAGCCTACATACTAACGAATAGATGAATCCCCCAACCAAGTTCATAAATCTATTAGCCAAACGCATGAATATCACAGGCACGATCATAAACCGTATGCCTAAACATATGAACGCCACGGGCATGATCATGAATCAGATGCCTAAAGTGCTTGAATTTCTCGGACATAATCCCCATACACAAAATTCTACCACTAAGCACCATCAAAATCTTTCTACAACACAAGATAGCAAAGAAAAAGAACACTTACTTGGAAGAAGAGTGAGGAGAGACGGTTGGGGAGATGAACACACGGCGGACGGTACGACGGTCTCAGCGACACTAGCAAAACACGCGGTGTTGACGGCAGAGAAAATATGAGAGCGTGAGAATGTGAAAACAAGTTATGGGCCCTGAAGCCCTATTTATAGAGATGACGTGGAATACGAAACATCGCGTCGGGGAATCACAAACCGCCTTCATCCTCGACAGCTACTCGCATAGATAATAATGACCCCTACTCCCTAGGCCGCCATTATGGTTTCCAAGAGCCACACCACGTGTCTGACTAGTGTATCATCCTCTTCACGCGAGTACTCCTCGAACACTCTTCGACAGCTGCACGAAGCAAATCACGAACCGGGCGAGGTCTCACATCCACGATAAAAAATCCTGTATCGCGCAACGAGTCTCGCGAAGGGGAGAACTTGAATCAAGTCATAACTCCCTTACCAGGAGCACCGACTTAGGGGGCTCTTGTTCTGGACTGGGCCTGCCCTTGGCCCAACTACCAGCGAGGCCAAATCCAAGCTTGCCAACCTGCTGCGCTGAGCAGTATTTCCACCGAGCACACCCCGATCACAGAGGTCTAGTCGACTATGACTACTTCCCACCGGTGCTCGCGAAGGCCGTCCCCGACGAACACGCGCTCCCCCCGAACACCTTCCTCGTAGGGCTGACTTTCAATCTCTCCGGGTTTCGCGGAGTCTTCATGGTCCCAGAAAGATCGCGTCTCTATCCTCCCTGTCTTGCGGAGGACGTCATCCAGGTAGGGGGCCATGTGCGAGTCCCTACTACACACGTAGAACCTGATAGTCTCTCTGTTGAGCCTATTTGATCAGCCTAATAAAGAGACCTTGACCCAACGCTGGGGGCTATAAATACCCTCTCTTTTGAGAGGGTCGGGTATTCATTCATTCACACCTAAACTCATATTTGCTTGCTCATTCCGCTTCTCACTTTACCATTGGAGTGTCTTGTAGGTACCTCCCTATCTCATTCAAGCTCTGCCCGTAGCCAGCTGTGACGGTCCAACTCTGATCAGGTTAGATCAGTAATTTCATTTTTAAATTTTGAATTGCTTTTTGAATGGTTAATCCAAATATTTTATAAACTATATTATTTTATATACAGAGAAAAATGTAATGTTAATTTAAATATTTATATAAATAATGTTAAAATATGAGAAAAATAATATATGGTTAATTTTAATATTTTTATAAATGATATTAGTTTTATATATGAAAATATATATATAATTGTTTAAAATATTTTATGAATATTCTCAAAATATGGTAAAATAATTTATGATTAATTTAAATATTTTTATAAACGATATTATTTTTATATATATAAAAAATCTATTAATTCAAATATTCATATAAATGATGTCAAATACGAAAAGACAATCTATGATTTGTTCAAATATTTTTATATATGATACTAGTTTTATATACTTGAAAAAATATACTATAGATTTAAATATTTTTATAAATGATGTCAAAGTACGCGAAAATAATCTATAGTTAATCAAAATACTTTTATAACTGGTATTATTTTTATATACTAAAAAAATGTACTATTGATTTAAAATATTTTTATAAATGAGGTCAAAATACGGAAAATAATTTATGATTATTTCAAATATTATTTGTATATACAAAAAAAATTACTACTAATTAAAATATTTTTATAAATGATGTCAAAATAATAATATTTTTATTTTATTATTTCTTTAATTTATCTATAAATACGTATAATACGCGTATTAGACTCGAACTCGGACATACGCACACGTTTGTTACTAGTTAAGATAATATAAAAAACTAAAATTTTAAAATCACATATTCAATTCTTATAACTTTTATATGCATGGTTTTAATGTAATATTAAAAACATTAAACAGATAAGTTTACTCCATGAGTAACTTTACTCAGTTATAGACATAGGTAAATAGAGATGTGATTACTCAGTTATACGTGGATAGAGATAAGTTTACTTGAGGAGTAATTTACTCAGTTTAATAGCTTTTTCTAAACATTAAATTTCACCAATTTAATTATCAAACTAATCATTCTATAAAATTTCATAAAATTTTAGAACTACTTGCTTTTTCTTACCAACGTATCATATACTTTTAAAAATATAAATTTCCATTCATGAATTAAACAAATCGAACTATAATTAATTCAAGTTCAATACATTTATTTGAAGAGTTTAATTTCCCCTTCAAATTCAACTCATTTAGTTTACGAACCAAAATCAATGAATTAACAGCTGAATTAAGTTCAAACTATGTTCGAATTTTGCTCGCATTGGTGTCAATTCTAATATAATTCTAATACAGCTTGGAAGATAGTTGAACTTCTAAAAAATGCAAAACTCCACATGTACATTGCTCAAATGCAAATGGTATAATGAGTAGTTAAATATGGAATATCATAGTTGATAAAGAATATCATGAGAAAACTAGTTAATTAATTCAACTAAAATTCCTATTCTCTAATCAATTTAAAAAGCAAACACATCATACTCTTTTTTTTTAATCGAAAACCAACTTCTAATCAGCACGCATTACAGCTTTTCCTACATGTACCATAGTAATCAGGAGATCCAACCATGAAGACGGGGTTTCCTTGACATTCTCCAGTAGCCGCCCAAGCGGGACAATTATCATCCTCATCAGTACATTCATCTACATCTGATGCGGTTGAGATTTCCCCTCCCTTAACTGATCTTGCATAGAAGAATTTAACTGCGGACCACATATCGCCTTTAAGGACAGGGCATCGAGCGTGGAAGCTAGTTCTGTCAGGCGATGTATTTAGGTTAAGAGAGAAAAACAGAAGTGCATTCCCTTTTACTGGTTGGAGAATGTCACTAGTATTTCCACAATTCGACCAGCTGCTACTCTTGGTCTGTAGAATAATGCATCCGACATGATTAAATAGCAAAGAGAGGTCCAAACACGATCCATGTTACTTACTTACCACTGATTCGGGAAAGATAATTTGACCCCCTTGAGTAGAATCTGAGAGATATAGAACAATTGTTGCCATCAAAGGTCCGGTTAATACCAAATCGGTTTTGTTTGTGAAATAATCCATGTTCTGAGTATCCTTCCCAATCCCATATTGCATTATTTGTAAAGGCTTGCTGTTCTCTACATATGGAGAAACAAGAAAATTAAAAATAATTAAAATTTGTAGATTGATGAAATAAATAGACCCTATACCTTTAGGAAGAAAAGTCCAAACTGAAAGCCTTTCTTCAATCATCTTGACAATATCATCTTGATGCGAATCTTTAACAGAATGTGCCTTAGCAAAAACAATGGAGTCAAATTGAAAGACAAGATGGTAATAAAAATGGAAAGCAATGAGAGAGTGCAAGATTACCAAAGAAATAAGGTAGTCACACTCCTTATGTGACAGAAAGCCTTTGTAAAGAAATAGCCTATAGCAAAAGACAAAAACATCATCAAAGTCCGAAAACATATAATAATTTACCAAGCAAGGCCACTCTTACACTTACATAATCTACCAAACAAGGCCACTCTGACACTCACAACTCACATCTACCCTGCGAGACAGACAAGTAATAATTAAAAAAGTGAATGTTGAAGAAAGTACCTGACCTTGGTTGCCATGAGATTTGGACAACACGGGAGGGATTAATTCTGTTGGAATAATAAACAGAATTTCTCAACACATTTTCATCTTTGTTCCTGAGTTCTTTCCTGCTGCTATTGCAAAATTAACACATTATTAGTAATATGTATTTATTTAAATTAAGCAAAATAATAATATAATTACCTTTGGGAGAAAGAGGTGGTTAGAAGAAGGCAGAGGGTGAGAAGAAGGGAAAGTGATGACATTGTATTTTGGAAATGATTGTTGTTTCCTTGTTCGCTCTCGATCTATGCTATGCGGTTCTTGTTTCCTTCTTCTGGATCTATGCGATTGTATTCATCACCGTTTCCATAATTTCCAATTATTGCACTTCTTTGTTTTCATTTCAAAGAATCTATTACTCTAACATTATTGCTTATAGCGGCCCAGAGTATAACTCAGGGTTTTTTTCCTCATATGTGGAGTTCAGATCCGCCCGAGTTTCCCAGTTCTTTATTGATGCGTGACACGCGGCAAAGAAAATAAATTAACGGTTCAGATTAAAAAATAGAAAATAAATTATCATCTTTTTCTCTTTAATTCTTATCAAACGATTTGGTTAATTTTGCTTTGTATCTTCCCTTTTCACTTATAGGTTAGGTCGGTTTACATAGATCTATAGTTTAGTTTATATAAGATCTATTTAGTAAAGAAGATTTTTTAATGCACCCAATATGATTGAAAAAGATTGTATGGATTTTCAAAAATGTCTTATAATATTTGGAAATATATTTTCAAAAACATCCTTTACATATTAGTTTCATTTGTTTTTTATTTATATCTCAATTTTAAGATTAAATTGATTCTGAAAATACATTTCTGGAATTTATTGAAATGAGTATGGATAATCATAGTTGCAGATAGCAACTGAACAGTTGTCTGAAAATAGAAAAAAGGTTGAGTTCAGAAAGAAAAAAAATAGTTACACCTTATTTTATGAATCAAGGGACCACCAACAATTATAACCACTTTGGTGAAGAAATTCATCACAACAACCGACAAGAGGCTTGAATGAATCAAGGCAATGGCAGAAGTCCATGCAAAAATTCGAAGTTGCTCCACAAAATTTGCAACAATGCAACTAGCTGAAAACATATAGTTATAAATGAATCTATTATGTGTGTTCGAGGTGCATTCGAAAATGTATTTTCGCATGGTGTGCTAGAAAAGAATATAGTGCATTAAGAAATTCTTATTGAAATTCGGGCACACTGATATCAGATCAGTTACAACAATAAGAATAATTATGAAATTGTTGGAAGTAAATAACACAAGTAATTGTTAACACAATTCGGTGCAACGTCGCATACATATGGGGGCTTCCAAGCCAGGGAGGAAATCCACTAAAATAGTATTAGTTTGAATCTTAAGTAAATAACCTCTACTTTACAATCTTCTCACATAATCACTACATCTGCTATTTTTAAGACACTCCTAGATATGAGACCCCTCTCACTTCCCTTTAGTCACAAACCAGTGACAAACTAACAATGATAGACAAAAGATAGAAGACACTCTTCAAAAACAAAAACCAGTTCTTCTTAAAAGCTTATGACTGATGAACAAAGATAACTTGACACACAATCCAATCTTGCTTAAAAGCTTGTGAGTGATTGATAAAATATAACTCAAACTCAGTCCAACTCTAATATCAAAGTGATGATAGAGTGGCACTCAATGAACAATGAACAAACTAAAAACCCTAATCTTTATTTCATGCACACGGCTTCTCCAGTTATCATTAGGTTTAGAAAGTCTTTATAAAAAGACTCTAACAAGCATGGGCTTCGGGATCTTCACGTAAATCCAATATTCCAGATGCAAATATTCTGCAAAATCTTTTCTACAAAAATAGGAAAAGAATATAAAGTTTCTAAAAGAGTCTCCAAGACCCTTTTTATAAAACAAAAATACTTTTAGTATAGAACCATTGTTCATAAAATAACCCTCCTTGGACTGTGAAAATATGAGAACTAAAACAATACAAAATCTCATATTTTAAAAACAAGTCTTCCAAGAAATAAAACCTAAACCTGCACTAAGTTCTAGTATAACATGTTACGACATCGTGCTCAGCATCTGTCTGCAGTGATGTCTGACCAACATGTCAAGACATCTGTCACAATATCTTATTGAGATACATGTTTTAGCAAAATTGTTGCCAATTCTAAAACCACTTACTTAACAATCTCCCCCTTTGGCAAATTTTTGCTAAAACACTACTACAAAAAATCCATTTAACAAAGGTTGGAACATACATATAATCATGCAGGTCCAGTAGTTATTATGTGTGTTGTACCCCAAAATTTTCCCTCTCATTTCTCAAGGATCCTCAAGTTTGCTTCCATCCAATTTCAAGCCTTGAACTGCAATTCTTCAAGAAAATCACTCACAAGGGCAAAATGATCATTTGCACACTGAAAAGTCAAATTTCTAAATACTTGGAATTTTTCTAAGTGTTTAAGAATTATGACAATTTCAGAACTTCTGACCAGGTTATTACCATAACGCTCAACAAATTTTGGACGCTCTCAAGGCAGAGTTTGGTCATAACTTCTGGGCAAGTTTTCATAAAAAGCTTCAGTCAGAGGTTGCAAACATGGTTCAGAATATGATACTTCAATCAGAATATATGGAAGCGATATTCTCCAGTTCAGAACATGACGCTTTAATCAGAACATGTGGAAGCAATGTTCTCCTTCAGAACACACTGGAGCCAGAAGATAAGAGGATCGAAAGGTTGGATGCTACGCTGAAGCGGAACTTCTGATCCAGAACTAAGCCTTGGTGTAGAATCTCACGTTGCAAGATTTTTAGTTGTGATAAGTCTCATCATCATTTAATGCTCACAACCACTTTCTGAGTCTTTATCCAAAGGATTTCCCCCACATGTACCTCTACTGTCTTGGGATAGCAACTTTGGCACTAAGCCCATACTTTGCTTTTTGCTTTTCCTTAATTCCTGCTGATAACCATTATGCTTGCTTCAACAAAAAGACATCACTTAAGCATATGAAGGTTATATTCAACGCTTTGATCAGAACATGACCAAATCCCAAAACCTTATTTATACAACAAGCTGCAGACCTATAACCAACAGCTAGTTCAGCCTACGCCTGCATCTCATAATTGCACCAAACTAGCATACAAAAACTGTGATGAAAAAGCAAGGGAACAGTATACCAAAAATGTTCAAATCTCATTTGTCTTTCCCCCCAAAAATCACAACAAATTCATCTATAAATATGTGGCTCCATCACACTTGCAAAGGGCGGGACTTTGAAGGAGAGGCTGGCTTTTAGAGAGATTGTCCAAAAGAGAGAAGAGGAAACAGGGAAAACCTTCGCAAATCCAAAGCAAAACCTTTTGTTCCTCCTCTTTGAATCAAAGAACACAACCACTATTCCATCTCTCTTGCTGACTCAGAACATCCAGAGGCAGCAACCCAAAGCTCCAAGCCCATGTTCCAGATTCAAGGTAAGTCTTTCTGACTGTGCTTGTTTTTCATTCTGAACATCATTAACATGTAAATATCATAGTATTAATATTGTACATATCATTACATGAATAGGAAAACTATGGATCAGAACTTCTTGATTAGGGCTAGACTCAGATTTAGGATTAGAACTTCTATAAACTGTTGTGCTATTATCCTTCTGAATTGTTGTTTAATAAGAACTGATAACATGTTGAACTCCTGATTGTTCACTCACTGTTTTAACACACAGAACTTCTAGGATTTTTTCAATGTTTAAGCACGCAGAACTTCTGAGTTCTCTTCACTGTTTTAACACACATAACTTCTATGATTTTTCTCACTGTTGACACACACTGAACTTCTGATGTTCACTCACTGTTCTAACACAACACAGAACTTCTGAGTTCTCCTTACATAGCAATCCATAACTTTTGTGTTTTTCCCTCTAACGTGTTTTGCAGGACCCTAGAGTTACCAACTCATACATTCTAACACTCACTGACGTCTCCTGCTGAGTCACATCGCTCTTGACTTCAGAACTTCTGATCCCTGTGGTTTCGCTCACAGCAGCACACTATTCCTATCTTTCATTTATTTTCCTTTTCATCATTTTTTTATTAACATAAAAAGACATAAAAATATTTTTATTTATTTAATTAATTTAAGACTAAAAAACCATTTTCTAAACAAGTCTTTTTTCTTTCTTATATTGTACATTTCAATATGGTTGTAATAGTAACTTAGGACTTATTTTTACTTGCAATCCCCATTCGTACATATGTACCCCCATTCCCTAAATATTGTAATAGCGTATAATCTTTATTTTCCGCACGTTTATTATTTCCATATATTGTTAGTAATTAGGGTGTGTATGACAAGACATGAAATTGACAAATAGATCACCCTAATCAAGACTAAAATGCATGCAATCAAACACACTTTGCACACATGCACCCTTAGGGTAGTCTCACTTTGTTGCCTATCGGAAAAATAGTCATGTCCCTCGAACATGGGCGTTTTAGCAAAGACCCTCGATAAAAGATCGTAGTCCCTCGATGACCCACGATGTTGCCTTCGGTAAACAATCTAGTCCCTAAACGATATTGCTAAAACGTCTCATAAGTTGCCTTCTATGACTATACAAACATCCCAACGCTCGTCCCTTCACATCACACGATGGGGCTTCTTACCAACTCAATGGTAAGATAGCAACATCTAAAGGAGGAGGAAACGAACATCTAAGACCTTTCAAGTAGGTAGGTTTTCTCTTAGTTGCTCGCTTGCTCACAACAAAAACATTTTATACACTCACACTTCACTTTGAAATATTTTCAAAAGACAAACACTTTGTACGCGTTCTTATAGAAACGAGAGCCATTACAAAGGAAACCCTTTTCAAAATCACTTTCAAAACACATCTCACAAACATATCTTTGAACTATTTTCGAAACAAACACTTTGTATGCGTTCTTATAGAAACGAGAATCATTACAAAGTTACATTTTCAAAATAATTTCAAAATCCATACCACAAGCACATTCAAACAAAAGCAAGTGATCTAGCATGCAACTAAGAGCCCATGGAAAACCATGGATGAGAAGGGTGCTAATACTTTCCCTTTTCATAATCTACCCCCCGAACTCTAGAAAATATCTCTAAAGGTCTTTCCTGTGCTTTTTCACCTTTCCTTATTGGATAAAATAAAAGTCGGTGGCGACTCTTGCTAAA